GGTGGATGGGCCTAAGGGTGATAGGGTGGTCCTGAGATGGCCCTCTGAAGTGACCCAGACAGAAGAGCCCAAAGTCATTGCCAAGGGTGAGGCGCTGTTCCTGCCTCTGGATATTTAGTATTAAACAAAGTAGACCCAAATCCCAGCCCTCATAAAGATCAAGGCCATGGGCAAAAGCAAGAGTAGGAACTTGTTTTCTCAAGTTTTGACATGGATTTATTTGGACCCCTGAACTGAAAATATTTAGGAATGCCCTGGGTTTTAAGGGGAGGGGTGAGGGGCAGGGGAGGCTTGATAGTCAAGCTGGTCCATGGGCCAACCCCTGCTTAGAGAGGGTTGATGACCAGGCCAGGCTGGTGACCTTGGGTCAGCTGATGCTAGCATGGGCTGGGTCCTGGCCTCCTGAGTCACCCTGCCTCGCCTGGTCTCTTCCTGCCTTGGGCTGACTATAGCATGGTCATCTCAGCTGAGATAGCTCTCTGGTTTTGGAAGAGAATTATTTTCCTGAATGCCAGCAGCTAAGCTCTCCGGCACTGATCTTTGGCTGTGCCACTGCAGGCCTCGCCTCCTCCCTGTGCTTGGCACTCTCCGCATGGGGCAGCTCCCCTCCCTGCTCCTCCTCTCTCCCCTTCTTACCTCACCCTCTCCCTACACCCTGCTCTGCCTTCAGAGATTGGCTTTCTGTCTTCTTGCCCCTCTTCCCAGCAAACCTTTCTGCTCTCATCTTTCCTCCCGCCCATACTCCAGACATTGGCCTCTTACCTGCTCCTGCCCCAGCCCTCACCAACTCCCTGAATAGAGTCTTCTCAGTGCTTTTCCCCTCTCATGTTGTGTCAGCCCTCTCAGAGCCACCCTTGGAGGGAACACACCAGGTTCTTCCTCTGGCGGTGCCTCCTCAGGGAGTTGAGAGCCAGAGGGAGGACACCTGGCATGGGACGGGGCTAGGGCAGGGTTCCTCAGCCTCCAGTAACATTTGGGGCTGGGTGGTTTTCCATCGTGGGAGGGGAGGCTGACCTACACTCTGTTGGATGTTTAGCAGCACCCCTGATGGCTACTCACTAAGACACCAGTAGCACTCCCCTCCCCAAGTTGTGTCAACCAGAAATGTCTCCAGACATTGGCAGATGTCTCCAGGGGAGCAAAATTGCTTCTGGTTGAGAACCGCTGGGCTAGGAGATGAGAACACCGTGTCTCAGTCTTGGCTAAACTTGTGTTGGAAGAGACCTTAGAAATTTTCTAGTCCAAATCCCACATTCTAAAGGAAATAGGGCCTCAGAGAGCTAAAGAATCTTAAGGTCACATAGGGGAGCAGCATGATGAAAGAAGCATTTTAGAAAAAGGATTCAGGTAGCTCGATACAGGCTGAGCTGAAAAACAGAGGCCAGAGGCGGGGAGGGGAACATGGCTGGGGTCTGGGCATGAGACAGGCTGAGGCCGGGGTCTCGGTGCATTTTGCCTCTTGGCTGGGACTCAGCACACACTCACAGTCTCCTAGGAAGGGGCTCTGCACCATACTCCAGGGAACCAGGTTCTGGTCCTGTCCTGGCAGTGTGACAGCCCCCTGACCCGTCTCAGTGTCCTTATCTGTAATTTTAGGACCTGATGTTTGTACTTTCTTCCTGCCTGGAGGCCCTGCTGGTTCTGGGTCATCTGAGTTGGAAACACCTTGTCTACCACAGCAGAGACCCCTGAGGATATGGAAGAGTGGCAGTGGGGTGTGCAGTAGCCCCTGTAGTGGCCTCATTCACTTAGCAAACATTGTGCATGATGCCTTCTTCCCCCGCTCCCCCCACTCCACCCCCGGGCTTAGGTACAGACTGTTGGTGGGGTTGCCCCACCTGGAGCCAGCACTTCTCACCGGGGATCTAGCCTGGGGCACTGTGGTTCCTCCAACAGGAAGTGAGGAGGGAAGCAGATAGGGGACAGGACCACAGCTCATTTCTCTTAACCTGGTGGGTCTTTGGGAAGCTTGCAGACCAGATCAGGATACATGCAGTGTGATGTCAGAAAAGCAAGACTAGGAGAAACAACCAGCTCCCGGGAGCTTCTGAAATGTTGAGGTTTTCCCAGATGGAGGCTCCTTGGACTCATCAATTACCCTGAGGAGGAAAATGGAGAATGGAGGCACAGAGGGGACCCCAACCAGGCCTACTCCCAATGAGAACTGGCTTCTGGGGAAAGCTGTGCTCTCTTGGGAAAGTCCTGATGTCTCAAACTGCAGGATGGTGGGGATGTCCCGCAGCATCAGGGGTCCAAGGCCAGCTCTATTTAGCAGGCTCCTCTACCTGCCGCGAGTGAGCCTGCAGCAGCAGGTTTTCCTGTCATTCATTCCAGGGTCTGGCTGTGAGAGCCATAAATTTTTAATGTGTAGATCATGAATGTTCTTGGTATGATTAATGAGAGAAAAATTGAGACGGCAGCATAGAAACTGACCAGACTGAAGAAAGTCAGTGACAAGTTGGATGAGTTTCAGTGTCTCACTTGCAAACTTGGAGCTTGTGACCTGGTGTGGAGCGCCACCTAGTGGTTGCAGGGGTTGCTTCCCGCATCAAAGCTTAGAGACGCCCCATTGGGTGGATGATCTGGGCCTGAGTGTGCCTACACCTTGGGGGTCTTGCCCTTCTCACACCTGGGCTGCTGCAGAGTATAAGAGGTGCATAACGCCTCACCACAGTGTGGGGGACCCAGGCAGCTGCTCCACTCACCTAACTCCCATCCCCCTACAGCTCCTTGGACAGTCTGGTTTAGTAATACATGGGAATATCCCCACTTCTTTTGTTATGCCCAGTCTGGACCACCTTTGTTTCCCCGTTTATCAAAATCCTACTCATTCGTTAAATCCCAGCAAGCCTTGTTAATCTACCTTCCAAATACATCTCAAGTCGGACCATTTCTCACCACTCCTCAGTCACTCCCTGGTGTAGATCGCCCACAGCCCGATCACGACAGTAGCCTCCTGATTTCTCTCCCGGCTCCCTCTTTGCCCTCTGACGGTCTGTTCTCTGAGTATAGCCAGAGTAATCTCCTGAAAACTTAAATCGTGTCACTCTCCAGCTCCAGAGGCTTCCCATCCCACTAAGAAAGAACAGCACCCACATTTTCCCTCTCAAAGCCTGTGAGATTCTGTCTCCTGCCACCCCACCTACTGGTCCCCTACGACTTGTCACCTTCGCTCTGTTGTAGCCACATGGACACCTTGCTCCTCTGTGGCTGTCTAGGCTCATTCCCACCTCACAGCTTTTGTATGTACTTGCTGTTCCCTCTACCTAGAACATTCTTCCCCCAGATGTTTGTATGGCTCACTTCCCCTCTTGATTTGGGTTCCTACTCAAATGCCACGTTCGCAAGAGGCCTTCCCTGACCACTCTGTCCCGTTCCTTTCTAACTCCTCATCCATTTTTATTTCTCCTCCCAGCACAAACCAGAACCTGAAATTCTGTATGTTTGCTTATGTAGCATCTGTGTCCTGTGTGGGAATTCCCTCTTCATGAGGGCAGGGCCTTGACTGGTGTTGTTTACCATCTCCCCAGCACTCAGAAAGGGCCTGGCACTTATTAAGTAGGGGCTCAGTTTGGGTTGCGGGCTGCCCGTCTTCACGGGTACATCTGTGTCTCCTCTCTGAGTGAGACCAGCTGGAGAGCAGGGATGTGCTTGCCTCTTGGGGGTCACAGCACAGACCCCGGCCCTTAGGAACTTCTCAGTAAATGCCTTTCAGAAACTAGTACCTGGTACTGGCCACCTACTTCTCATGCTTGCTTCCACTTAAATTCTCACAGCAATACAGAGGAAGGTGCTATTATTGTCATTCGGCATAAAAGGGGTTTGCAAGGTCACACAACCAGGACATGCGGAAGCCGGGCGTCAGATCCATGTCTGTGCCTCCCCAGCCCTCACGTCTGTTATTTCACCCTGCCCCAAGTGCACCCGTCCCTGAGGGATTGCCTCCTCCAACTGGCATCTCGGACCGGGACAGTGACTGCTGCCTCTGAACTCCTCTTCCGTTTACTTGGCACCAGTGTGTACCGCCGAGGATAGATGCTGCTTTCTTATTGCTCCCCTCCAGCCCAAGCGGAGGCCTGAGGAAGGCAGGTCTCTAAAGTGGTGGTAGCTTTTCTGGCACAGGATCCTGCATGCTGTAGGTTCTCAATAAATATTGGTTAACTGATCGATTGGCTCCTCAGACTCAGCAAACTTCCTCTGAACTGCCGGAGGAGGCGGGTGTCAGCTTTATCGAGTATAAACTACAGCAGATGTGGAGATCTGCAGCCAATGAAACTGAAGCTTCCTTGATAAAGCTAGTGGCGTCGGTGGCCCCAGGGGTGCTGTTGAGAAGAGTCGGCCTTTGGGGCCCATAGTGCTGGTTGCTGTCTTACTGGATGGATGGCGAAGGCAGTGATGGGCTCCTACGTCCTACATATGGCCAGCCCCTCAGCCAGCTTCTCAACAAGCCCAATGAGTCCTTTTGTTTTTCCACCTGGGAAATTTTTTCATCAGGCTCCTGAGAACAGTGGGCCAATGGCCCTTCTGGTCAGGGCAACAGGTCACGATTGCTGGAAGGTCTGGCTTGAGAAAGTGGACTCCGAGATTCTCTTCTCAACCCCAGAGACAAGTCCTTACTTGCTTTCCCTGACCACCGTGCACCCTACCCCACAGGCTCCTTCCCGAATGGCAGAGCCTCTCTTCCACCAAGGGGAGTAAGAGCAACCACTCATATATACCTAGGACCTGCGATATATGGCACATGATTTTGCTTGCACCTTAATTAACTTGCTCCTCAGAGCGACTATGGAGTCTGTGAAGCTAATGTAACCCCATTTGCGAGATGGGGAGGTTGAGACACGAGGAGACTGAAGGGATGTGTCATCATTTTAGGCTGTGACCATGTCTGACTAGTAGCCCAGTTCTGGGTCTCAGGGTTGGTAGGGACACGGAGTCTTTCGAGTCCCATGGCGAGGAATGCAAGAGCAATGCCGGCCTAACAGGCTTTCTTTTCTCTCCAGCTCTGTGGCTGTGGGCTGCTTGGAGTGGGCATTTGGCTCTCGGTGTCCCAAGGCAACTTCGCTACCTTCTCCCCCAGCTTCCCCTCGCTGTCTGCAGCCAATCTAGTCATCGCCATAGGCACCATTGTCATGGTGACGGGCTTCCTCGGCTGCCTGGGGGCCATCAAGGAAAACAAGTGCCTCCTCCTCAGTGTAAGTTGGACCCCCATATCCCCAACCAACCCTCTGAACTCTGGGTCACCCTGCATTTTGGGCCACAGAGACAGGCAAGGCCTGGGCACATTAGCTGACTGAGCCCAGGGAAATTGCTTCTAGAATGTTTTTTGCCCAACCACACCCCTCTTCCTCCTTATTGGCCAGCCCTTCCCTAGTTATCCTTCTCACTCCTCGATTGGCCATCTACTTTATCCCCCTCCTCCACCTGTCTGGGTTTCCTCAGCAGTAGGTGGCCTCTCCCATACCTGGGAAGCCCTGTCTAGGTGCTCTCTGTCCCCTGCCTCCCTGCCTTCCTTGTTTGTACCCCATCCCTGGCCATGACCATCACCATCTGCCCACGCCTTTTCTTTCTAGTTTTTCATCGTCCTGTTGATCATCCTCTTAGCAGAGCTGATCTTACTTATCCTCTTCTTTGTCTACATGGACAAGGTAAGCCTTACAGGAAGGGAGGGGCGTATGGAATTTCATTGCCTTTGGGGCTGGGTCAAGCCGGGCAAGCCAGAGGAAAGGCGCTGACAGGTAGTACCCGTGAGGAGAGGAGAGTGGAACCAGGAGAACTAGGAGAGGCCCAGATGAAAGATTTTGGTGGGGGCAGCGTGGGGAAAGCGAGTTTGGGTTGGTTTATTACCTTGTGTAGGCTTAGGAAGTGGAGTCCTCTAAATTACCCATGGATGCAGTGGACTAGTGAGCTCCCCGTCGCTGGGTGCATTCAAGCATACTCGTGTTAACCACTTAGAAAAGGGATTCAGACCTCCATACGTGGTTGGACTGGGTGATCTGAGGATAACACACAGGAAACGTGGAGGAACTTTGCAAGTGATACCACAAGTGGGGCTAACGGCGGGATGTAGCTACACTTCCATTCCCACAGCGCTCTGGGGATAGAGTGGCTGCTCCTAGGCTGCACTACGGGGTTCAAGAGGGTGGTGGGGTGATCCCTTGCCAGACCGGATAGTTCCCAATCAAGTTGGAGAACTTCTTATTGACGCTACCAAGAATGAGTGGCCGGGCGCTCAGTCTTAGGGCTTTAGCAAGCTCTCTCGGCGCACTGTGCTGAGTACACAGGTAACTGTGCCGCCATCTGCTCCTGGGATTCTTGAAGTACTTGCCCAGGCCACACTGAAAGGTACAGTCGTTATTAGGATTAGAAACAATAATTCTTTAGCATTTATGAAAGAGAGGAAATAACAACATTGAGAAATCTCTCTGTGTCAGCCCCGTTCTTGCCCCTTTATAAGAATTGTTTCCTTTAATTCTCACTACCGTCCCAGAGGTAGATAGTACTAGTCCAACATATGATGGATAAAGCAGAGGCAAGAGAGGATAAAGTACTTGCCAGTGAGAGGTGGACCTGAGATCGCAATGACTAATCTGCCACCCTCTGGTCCCAGGGTGTATTTTGACAAGGGCATCATAGGAGAAGATGTGCGTGGGGTGGCAGAGTGGCCTGCGTGTGTGGCCGGTCTCTCTGTCTCTGAGTGTTACAGCCCTGCTGAAGAGTTTAGCTCTCCCGGGAGTCGGTACAGACTGAAGCTGGGAGCATGAACCTACCCTGTCCCTAGCACCCGCCCCCACTGAGCCAGCAGAGCCCAGCCCCAGGGCTCTCCCCCAGTCTGGAAGAGTGTTGGCCAGAAGTCCTAGCTGATCTGAGCAGGTCGCAGCCTGGTTCCAACCATCCTGTCTGTCTGCCGCAACCTGGCAGGTGAACGAGAATGCCAAGAAGGACCTGAAAGAAGGCCTGCTGCTGTACAACACAGAGAACAACTTGGGGCTTAAGAACGCCTGGAACATCATCCAGGCCGAGGTGAGGGGGTGGGGGAGCTCTGCCAACTGGACACAGTGGGGGCTGGGCCAGGCTGGGAGGAGAGGTGGCGGCCTGGGCCTCAGACTCCACCCAGGTGACTGAATTGGGCTCCTGTGCTGTCTGGATTTTAACTGAGAGCTGCTGGGTCAGATGCCATACGCTGGGTTACAGCTGGAGAGGGGCAGGAGGTGAGTGAAGGAGGATAAACAGGACCTGGAAGCAGGAGTAAACAGGCCTGGGGGAGCCATGTCAGTGGCTAAGTGGCACAGGGAACTGGGAAGGAGGGATAATCGAAAAGGACAGACCGTCCAAGTCCTTTTCTGAAGATTTGGAATGAGTGACAGAATTTGTTTTAGTAACAGACGTGCCTCCCTGGTCGTGGCTCAGGCAAGGAGGCTTTGATTCCAAAAGCAAACAAATCAGTGCAGCTGCAGGTCCCATGCTGAGGCCTGGGGAGGGGCCGGCAGCCAGCTTGAGGCAATCCATCAAGCACAGAGCCAGGAATTGGAGGGCTGAGCACCCCTGCCCGGAGTGCAGTGCCCAGCTCCGAGGGGCAGACAGCGTACCCGTCTCCCTGCTCTGGCCTCCAGGAAGGTTATCACTTACTTCTCCTGTGGGCCCAGCTGAGGCCAAAGGAAGGGGCAGGAAGAAAGCCTTTGTCTCCTCTGCTCAGCTCCAGGGTGGCTGCTTTGTGGGGCGGGGTTGGTCTGGGCAGGGGAAGGCCCAGAGAAGGTTGGCAGGCAGTGACGTGTCTGACCCTGTGCATCCCCACCCACAGATGCACTGCTGTGGCGTCACTGACTACACAGACTGGTACCCGGTGCTGGGCGAGGACACGGTCCCCGACCGCTGCTGCATGGAGAACTCCCAGGGCTGCGGGCGCAACACCACCACCCCACTCTGGAGAACGGTGAGGCCCGAGGCTGCTTCCCCCGGGTTCTCCTGCCAGCAGCCTGTGTGGTGGGCGGTCTGGTGAGGGGACATCTATAAGGGAGGGAGGGGTCCTGGGACACCAAGGAGTTGGCTTAATGTGGGAGTGGAGTGGGGCACACAGGACTGAAGCCAAAAAGTAGGTGGAAAATGGGGAGCCTGGACCCCCAGTTGGGTGTGTCGGGGGGTGGGAGGTTGAATGGGGTCTGAGGCTGCACATTAGGGCTTCGTAGGTGGACCCCTGTGCGAGGCAGAACCTGCTCAAAGGCAGGAGGACTAGGCTGAGGATCGGGGAGGGACAGAGGAAGGAGCAGGGACGGGACTGAAGGGGAAAGTGGGTGGGGCTGGGCCAGAGCAGGCAGTCATCATCATACCAGGCCCTTAACCTCGTGGTCCTCACTCCCTAGGGTTGCTATGAAAAGGTGAAGATGTGGTTTGATGACAACAAGCATGTGCTTGGCACGGTGGGGATGTGCATCCTTATCATGCAGGTAAGAGGGCCATCTGAGCCTTGCTGCACCCCAGCTGGAGAAAAACAGACACCCGGAAGTTAAATCACTGACCCAGGCAGCCTGACGTCCATGCACCTTCCTGCTCTGTTCTGACCTGAGGCCTCTCTTTCGATGCCTGTCCCAACAACCCTGCAGGCACCACAAGGCAGTTTCCTCGCATCCCGTCTGAGCCTTGGGCCTGGTGCTGGCATTGCGTGGAGCCCCTGTATGAGTTTGCCGGTGAACACACCTGTCCTTGCTCCACAGGGATGTTCACACTTATGACTGAACTGAATGAAACCCGAGTCTGCAGTAATGATTGTGAGCCTGGGCTCATGGGCCAGACTCCACAGGTGTTAGTCCTGGCTTCACCATCTAGATTTGTGTGACCTGGGTACATTGCTTAGCTTCTGTGCCTTAATGCCCACTTCAGTATAATGGGCATGATCATTGTGCCACTTCTTAGCATGTAGTGAGTCTAATACACCTAACATAGTGTATAGAGCAGTACCAGGCACACGGAAGTGCTCGGTAAATGTTAGCTGTAATTAGCCAGCACTCTATGCCGGTTGTTCTTTTGAAGGCCTAGCATAGGTGATGGAGAGGGAAGAGGCGGGGCTTCCTGCCTTCTGTCTCAAAGATGAGGCTGACACAGCTGGCTGGGAGCAAGAGCCCCCCCATGACCTGACCTTTCTGTCGAGCATTTCCTGGGTGCCCTCCTGTGCTCCCTTATATATGGCTCCTGTCTCTGGTGAGCAGGAGTCTTCAGTGCCTGATTCCTCACAGAGCACTTGAACTTGACTGGTTGGTCCATGTGAAGATGGTCGACATCCTGCATGAAGTTATCGTTCTTACCCTACACTCTTGGGCTTAGGGGCCTGATTATGTCTGATTTATCCGAGTGCCTGCAAACTTAGCAGATGAGGCCACTGTCATTTTCACAGCGCTCAGATGTGAGGTAAGCTCATCGAGAGCAAGATTCTATTTAGTACCAAGAATAGGGCTCCTCTCAGGTCTGCCTGTGCTCAGACCTGGACCTGGACTAGAACACTGGAGCCAGGCTCACCAGACATGGTCTCCTCCATTTATGCCTAAACCTTAAAGGCGAGAGCTATGAGAGGCATGCAGTGTCCCCTGGTCACCTGCTTGTGGCCTGTGCCCATAGCACACTATCTGTGGTGACTGCGAGGCCACAGGCTGGCTTCCTCCTGTCTCCTGCGCTGCTCTGGGTTACCACCCCCTTTCAGGATTAAGGCGCTGAGGGAACACAAATGAGCGTTAATGTCCTAAAGATTCCATATCGTGTATTCCAGAACTGAACGGAAATGACTCAGAGCATGGTTTTTCGTGTTCCCGCCACCTTCCTCTCCTCCTCCTCACTTCCTTGTTAGCCATCATTTAGGGTCTGGTCCTTCGTGCATTCAGGCCTCACCAAGGCACTCTGGAACAGGCGGGTTAACGCGCCTCGGGGAGGTTCGATGACATTCCCTACAGACGGCTCTGAGGGGCTGAGCTGGTCACTGGGCACCCTCCTCGTTTACCTCTGTCTTCATCCCACCAGTGTTTTTCAAGTACAGAGTGTTATACCACTTGTTCTAGGTGACCCACGTCAGGACCCAGCCATGGAGCTTCCATCTAAGGCCCTTTCCTCCTATCTTTCAGATTCTAGGCATGGCCTTCTCCATGACCCTCTTCCAGCACGTCCACCGGACTGGTAAAAAGTACGATGCCTGAGCGGCTGGCGGGAGCCCCAGCCCCCACGTGGACACTGTGCCAGGGAAGGAGATCTGAGCTTTGTGTTGCCTGCCCGCACTCCAGACTGCTGACGCTTCCATCTAAGGCCCTTTCCTCCTATCTTTCAGATTCTAGGCATGGCCTTCTCCATGACCCTCTTCCAGCACGTCCACCGGACTGGTAAAAAGTACGATGCCTGAGCGGCTGGCGGGAGCCCCAGCCCCCACGTGGACACTGTGCCAGGGAAGGAGATCTGAGCTTTGTGTTGCCTGCCCGCACTCCAGACTGCTGACCCCTGCCCCCACCTCCCCCAGCTACCCTCCCCACCCACCCGCCTCAGCCTTCTAGGGGTGGAGGGTCTGGGAGGAGGAGGTGCGGGGACCTTGGGATGCTGGGGGTGCCTGGATTCCTGCATCTGTGTATTTGCCAAAGAAGACAGGGCGGGCCAGGGGACATGCTCGAGGAGGCCTGAGCACCGATGCGTGTCTACCCCCCGCTGTTCTTCACACTGACACTGGCCCCGCGTGGGGTGCAGCAGAGTGCTCCCTCCTGGTGGAGAGACTGCCCAGCGGAGGCCACCCTGTGGGCGAGCGGGCGAGACCGCCTCCGGCCAAGTCCCCAGGGAGCATCTTGCCCAGGCTTTTTATACCTTACAGTGTAACTTTTTTATTTTATTTTACTCTGATTACGATTATTCAGGAATATTATCTCAGATAAGTTTAGGGTTAGCTTTCTGATTTATAACTTTTTACTGCGTTGATTTCTGTAACGGTTTGATTTTTTTTTTTTTTTTTTCTTTTCTGAGGGTGGGAGATGGGTGGGGAGAGAGGACGTCCATCCGTTTTCAATCAGGACAAACCACTGTGCAACACTCAGGAGGCTCTCAGGAGAGATGCACCAGGCTGCATTCAGAATGAGCTGAGAGGAGGGCCTGGCCAGGACTGCTCTCTCTGGCCTGGCATCTATGGCACAGGAGCCTGGAAGAGGAGGTGAAACGGAGGAGCGTAAAGCGACGTGGAAGAGGGTCCTGCACAGGGGCGATGTGTTTGCTGATGCTGGTGTAAGAGGCCAGAGCAGTGGGAGTCCTGGGGGGATGGTGAAGGGCTTCGCCAGGAACGTGGCTAGAGCCGGCTAGAGCCGACGTGGGTCCTTACACTTCACTGATGAGCAGCTTTCTTTTTTCCCTTCCTCCTTCCTCCTGCCCTCTGCTGGCAAGGGAGGCTCCCCCTCCACCCCATGCGGGCCATCCCGCAACAGGTTCTGCAAACTCCAGTGATTTCACAGACAGTCCTGCTAGAAACTCTTGGACACATACCTCTCTAGTTCAGATGCTGCTCACTTTCTCACATTGCTTCTGGAAGGGGAAGCAGTCCTTACATTTTGCTGCTCAGACAGTGGCAGAGGGCCTGCGACAGTCAAGAGGGGCAAGTGGAAATGGTGCCCATGATCATTCCAGCCCAACTCACTGGGCTGCTGATTCCCTGTTGGGAGGGAGGGAGAGATGTCCATTCTGGTCCCAGGACCCTCATCTCCTTCCTCTGGGCTCACTGATGGTAGGGTAGGTGGTGATCATGTCCTCCATTACCCCAAGGCAAAGTACAGAAAATTGAGAAAAGGTTTTTGAAGACTGGATTTTGTTAAGTAGCCTCGGGACAAAAGCAGCCTGAGTCAGGGCCTGGGAGACGAGCTGGCAACTGGGGCGTTCTGCTGCATCGGGCATCCCACCAGAACTTACGCTGGTCTAAGCTAGCATTTTGCAGTTAAAGGAAAAAGTCGAGAATCCACAGGATGGAGCTTGAAAAGGTTTTCCACTAGCTAGCTAGGAGCCAGTGCACTGCCTCAGGTGGGGCCACGCATGAGGTCAGCTGCCTTTTTCCTACACCATTTGGGTCGACACCTTGGTTTCCCACTGGGCCCACGTCTTCTTTCCAGCCTCCACCTGTCTGTTCTAAGAACTGAGACCCAGCCACCCGGCCAGCAGCTCCTCCACTCACCTTAAGTGCAGTGCAGTCAGGACCAGCAGTACAGAACTTTTGGTGAGCTCAAGATTCACATTTTTGGAGGATGGCAAGTAGAGAGTAGAGTGGTCTCAGTGAGTTGGGCAGAGTAGAACCACCTCCCTGAAACCGGGGTGCTGGTGCTGATGGGAAAGCTGGGAAGGTGGGGTCTTGGGTGAAGGGTGGGCAAGCACACATTTAAGCAAAACTGCCTTCTGGGTCCTCTGGCCTGTTTTCCTGGTAAGGAACTTCAGCCGCCTCCCCAGGAACCCCCATCTACAGAGCTCAGAGCAGATGGCCAACATGCCACTGCAGAGAGATACTCAGCAAACAAGCATTCAAGTCGCACAGTGGGACCTGGTGCATAATGAGTTTATGCTGGGGGTGGGGGTGGGGTCAGTTTGTTTATGCCTATCAATGCAATTTTTAATTTTTGTTAAAATCAACAGCAGAAGCCTAGCACCTTGGGGAGTGTGTAGCCTCCCTGACAATCTTGTTTCTGGAGCTTCAGGGCATCCTCTGGCCCTGGAATCCTTGCCACAGTCCTCAGTCCTACTGCCAGTCTCCCAGACTGCGTTCTCGCCTCACCCTGTACTTGGATGTTCTGTCATTTGGTGGAGTATGCACTGGGAAGGGCGCCGTGCACAGAGAGGCGGTGCTCTTCCAAGCCCCTTGCCTGGCCTGCTAAGTGGTCCCCACATCGCACAGAAGGCCTCACTCGTGGCTTTCCTCACCAAAGTCAGAGTTAGTTGAATCAGATCTCATGCAGGCAGCTTACAGACTTGACTCAGAAGGCCCCGTAGACAGCTTCAAGGGACTGCCTGCCGTGGCTGTCTCTGCAGCCATCTTGTAGGGAAGGTGGGTGAGCAAGAGCTGAGAACGGCTCCTGGGGGTGCTGCGGCAGGTGTTGGGGCACAAACCTTCACCTGCACCCCTATACGGAGCATTTCTACCCCCTCTCCCAGGGGCCATGGGCCTGCATCTCGGGCTCTCTGGAAAAGCTGCTGAGCCCTGAGCCCACCCAAGACGCTCATGCAGACATTCTGGTCTGACTCGGAACTAGGTGGCCATCCCTCCTTGCTTTAGTGGCCAAAGAGCAGTGCAGATGGATGGAAATGACTGTCCCCGGCTCTCTAGCCCCCTGCCCACCCACTGGTGGAGGTGCTAACTAGCAGGGACCTGGCACAGGACAGGAGCTGGGGCCAGGCGCGTGGGGTCCGCTCTTTGTCCCTCGGCCCATCGAGTCTGGCCTTGTGTGTTCCCGTCCTTCCATTTCCCTCTGCTCCCCGCAGTGAGGCAGTAGTCCAGGGTGGGGCCTAGCCTCCCTGCCATGAATGGGCACTCCGGGGGCGTGGCCTTGCGGCCCGTGCCCACACCCTGCCTAGCCCTGGGGCGGCACGGGAGAGCAGAGGGGCACGCCTGTTGGTTTCAAATGCACTTTTCTGCTTGCAATGCCGTTTCTGCATTTCCTTCATCCTGGTCCTGGCTTTATTGAACACCATGTTTTTAGCATGTTTCTAAATAAAAACTGATAATGTGTCAAAAGCACAAGCAGGCTGTCTCTTTGTGGCATGTTTGTTCTGCCATGACTGTGACTTATTTCATGTCATGGTTGATGTGAGGGATCAGAGGGGATCAGGCCCCGGTTGTACCCTTCGTCCAAGATACATCCCACAGTCAGGACCTTGCCTCCCTTTCTCGGACCCAGATTACAGATGTTCTAGGTGTGTGTGGGGTCCCTCTGTGGGAGCCTGAAGAATCCTAACACCCTCTTTGCCTGGTGACCCGATGCAGGTTTGGTCAGGGCCTAGTCCACATGGCCCAAGCGCTCTGCATAAGAGGCCAGCTCCCATCTGTGTGTTTGTCTCTTGTCACCGACCACCATTCTCGTGGGCTAGGCCCATAGTGTGCTGGGGGAGGGGGCAAACATTGAGTCATTCATGGCTTTCTGTGGGGGCAGGGACTGTCAGTTTTGGGTACAGTCTCTCTCCAGTCCCTTTGATATTCCCGGGGTTCATTTGAGCCTGATACCTCTTCCAGGAGTAAGGGGACCTTGCAATGTGTGACTTGCCTGGGCTGTTCTCCCTGAGGTGGCTCTAAGATGATTTCACCAAGTCAGTATGAGATGGCCAGCAAGGAAGGAGGAGGGCACTGAAAACCATGTGAGCCCACTGGTTTTGCCACCTCACTGCAACTTCCTTGGAGAAGCCCCCCGCAACTTCCTTGGTTGGGATTCTGGTTTGTGTGTTTTCCTCGGCTGCCGTAGGCACAGTGACAAGTTGCAGGTGAGAGAAGCTCAGATGTCATCTTGCCCTGGACCATCGCTGTACCTCATGTATCGAGCTAGGAGTTTGGGGTGGGAATGAAGGGTGAGTCTGCAGGGTGGGTGTGATGGTAGCAGGAGGGGCATCTGTAAACCTCTCCATGCATGGAGGTCTGGCTGCCTGCCTCTTCCTCAAGGGAAAAGCCAGCTTGTCACGACATTGTTCCAGAGCATCAACTTTTGGGGCCCCCTCCTGCAGCTGCTGTGTCTCAAAGCCTCCTGGGATTTGCTGAGGACTGAGGAGTCTGAGTTGACCCTTTGTCAAAGGTCCAGCTGGAATGGCATCCCTGAAAGCCTTCCCAAGGAGATTTACCAGAGGGTACCTTGTGACTGTGGGGTCAGGAGTTGGTCATGGCTGAGGGACGGGTGACCTTCCATCTTCCAAGGACCAAGCATTTCGTAGGAATGTGAGTGGAAGCCACTTCCTCTCTGCCCCTTCTTGCTCTTACTCCTACCCCCCAGCCTGTGGACACACTTGCGGGAGTGCCCCCAAGTCCCTGTGCTGTCTGCTTCTGGGGGACGGAGTGAAATCCATTGGCTCTCAGGGCCCTGGAACACACCGACTGCTCTGTTAGCACTGGGCTCCGGTCAGATGAGCTGAGCTGTGAAAGGCAGGCCACCCTGGCTGGGCAGGAGAGGAGATGTCCGTGTGATGTCCGTGTGAGGATAGAGCTAGGCATCTTATTTTTCCTGGGGACTTCTAATGACTAGCCTAGTACCTTCTTAGGCCCATGGGATAGACTGACTGAGATGACCCTGGGGTCCCT